AGGTCAGTTCCAGCTCCAGTGCTCCAAATCCTGTGTCCAAAGTATGTCCTGTCTTCAGCAATAGGGTCCTACCATCAAGTTCTGGGAGGCAATCAAGGGCTATTGCAATCCACACAGTCATAGTTAAGATGCTAATGGCTCTTTTCCCTTTCTTATTACACCTCAGGGCTCCCAAGATCCATTTTCTGAATATCCTCACCATGATAAGAAATCTTACATCAGCAAGGAAGAAGTCTTCTATTTCTTTATATGTTTTCCGAATTGAAATGATAAATAGAAAAATGCAAATAAGTTTTGAAAATATTGTAATATCTTTGACATACAAATTATGACATTTCTTCCCAACTGTGCCAGGGAAAAGTAAGATTCTTCCAATACAAATTACATTTTCCTAGGCAGTTTATAGTAAATTAGATATGGAGGTTATTTTTATTATTCTGCTAAGTACTGTGGGGCAATTTTAACATGCAGTTATATTATAGCTATACTACTGTCACTCTTAGTGTTACTACTATTGAGAGTCAACCTGAATTGAGAGGAAAGGACATCCCTTCCTGACACATGTGAAGTCATGGTTAGCAGTGTCTCCGAGTCTAGCATCAGCAACTCAACTGTGACACAAAGCTCCATAGCTTCTCTCCCTCAAATGCTCCTTAAAAACAGGCACAATTTTTAGTTGGCTTGTGGACACTACATGTATATTCTTTTAATGACTTCCACCTTAGAACAAGTTGCTGATGTCACAATCTGTAAATGGCATCTGAGAGTCTAGCACAATATTGATGAAACACTGGGACAGATGGTGAGAAGTACAGCTCCTGAACGGGTGAGCTGCATCGCTGTGCTGAGAACTGAAACTGAACATCTGCAGGAGCTGCCTTATGAAAACTGTTGGGTAACTACTCCACTGTTACTATTTCCTTCACTTATGTCTGAGCTTGGGGACACTGGGAAAGATGAATACTGCTTCAGAGCCCTTGAGACTCTGTCAGGAAACGTCCATCTCTCATCTGGCAATTGCTGCAATGCTACCTACGAGCAGCAACCATGTCAACAACACCTCTTCCATAGCGTGAGAGCTCATGGGGCCTACTATTGTCTTTAGTTCCGGTGCCTTCCCCACCACCGCAGTTTAGCCAGCCCACCCACAAAGAACTATTTCAGCCCAGCTGCTTCCTCTTATCCGCTTAATGTAATGAGGGCACTGTGAGAAAATACTGTTTGGTAATAGGAATGCATTTTTATTGTAGGCAGATTATCATTGCTGCATAATTAAGGCACTGTTGGAGTGTGAGCCCAGAACAGGTAGTTGGCATCTGCTTGTCTCCATGTTTGAGAGATCCTTGAATGACACACCACAGACTGTTCCTAATTGCACAGGCTATCAATAGTGGCAGCGTGGAAGAATCACTGAGGAGGTGGGGGTGCTAAGGAAATGTCAATAAGTGGGTCCCAACTAAGAACAATAACTCACAGTATTTGGCATCGGTGCTTCTTACAAGTTTTTCAGATGATTCTAACAAGTTGTCAAGACTAGAACCTTGAGTTGAAGCTGAACAGGGTTCGAAAGCTTTGCATTTGACTTCTAAGTTAGAAGTGAACTATGAAAGCTGGTTGTGCTGGATAGCTTTAGTGTCAACTTGACACATTTGGGTTGAGGGAGCCTCAGTTGGGGAATTGCCTCCACTGGACCAGTCTGTGGCCATGTCTGTGGGGCATCTTCTTGATTATTGAGTCTGTGGGAGGGCACAGCCTACTGTGGGTGGTGTCACCCCTGGGCAGGTGGGCCTGTATGGTATAAGAAAGCAGGCTGAGGATGGGCCAGGGGAGCAAGCCACTAAGCAGCATTCCTCCATGGCCTGTGCTCCAGCTCCTGCCTCCAGGTTTCTGCCCTGAGTTCCTACCTTGGGCTCCCTGAGGAACTGTGACTTGGGAGTTGTAAGCCAAATAACTCTCCCCCTCCCCCCACCAGGTTGGTAGTGGTCAGAGTGTTTTGTCACAGCAATGGAGAAACAAACTAGGACACTGGTTAAGATTCTAAGCTCTGGATTTCAGGGAATATGAACTTGCATTCTGATTGTGACTTTCAGTGGCCCTGTGACCTTGAACAAGCTACATCATTTCTCTAAGTTGATTTGTTTAAATAGCCTTAGAGAGGGAACTGACACTGATTCTAACAACTCCAACAGCTATCAAAATACCTGAAAGCAAATTCTGAATCCATCACCGTAGAGTTCAGCCTTGGAAGACAAAAGAAAAATGAGGAGGAACCCAACAGAGAGATGCTTTTGGAAGGCCTTGTCAAGAAATTCCAATGGACTCTCGCATGAAAAGCCCTTGTCAAGAAATTCCAATGGACTCATATGAACATTTGAAAATTGCCAGGGCTGGAGAGATGGCTCAGTAGTTAAGAACACTGGTTGTAGACCCGGGTTCGAATCCCAGCACCCTCATGGCAGCTAACAAG